ATTTCACTAAAACTTTTTCATGAAAATGAAGGAATTACTGACAAAAACAAACTCCTATAAAGTTACTTCTAAGTTAGTTTTGTCTTATTTCAAGCGTACCAAGATATTCACACGCAAATCTAAACCAAAAATATGTAAGATTTTGTGTTTTTGCAGTGTATTAATTAAACTGGATGAAAACTGAATTAAAATAGACCGACGAAGTTTTATGGGAATACTAATAAAAAATAAAAAAGTAGAATTATGAGAATAAAGTCATAATATTAAGAGATCAAAGTTGTAAGATCACATTTATGGCTTTATTCTAATAGTTTTGCTTTTTGTTTTCTTAGCATGGCCTAATTCTCTGTCGTAAAAATGCTTTTTTGACAAAAGTCAAAAAAGTTTCGTGCAACTTAGTGAGATTTTATCCGTTTATTTTTATTTCTCAACCTTTCACAGAAAATGCTAAACTTATTTTCTTTTGTTTTTAATTGTCGTTTTTTTAATTGTTCAGACACGTGTTAGCGGAAAACCTTAAGCGAACTGTGAACAAATCCGCCTCAGAAACAGGTGAAATCACGGCGATAAATACCGGATCTGCTGCCGTTTCCCGCTCCACACCCAAACTCCTCCTCAGACAGCCGTTACCGCGGAAACCGCCCCGCTCAGAAACGTATCGGCTAATCAACAATCACCGCCAGGTCGCCGCCGCAGGCCGCCATGTTGCATCGGGTCGCAAACTCCTTGCCTCTCTGCAAGGTGAGCGGCTGATAATGAGGGACGCACGAACACAAAACAACAACAAAAATCACAAACAAGCCCCTTCCCTCAGGTTCCCTGAGTCACGCAGGACGAGGAGGCGCGGCGCGTCTGCGCTCATCAACCTCTCTTTGTCTTTCCTGTGAGTTCTGAGCGATAGCTGCAGGCTGCTGTTTGCATGTTGCACCGGTGTTTGTTTGTTTGCATGCAGAGCGTGCAGCTCTCTTTGCGAGGGACTGTGTAGAGCAGTCTACCCAGCAGGCCCAGAACCACTGGGGCCTATCAGAGGCTGTAAATACTTTATGAGATATGATAGTGCAGCACAAACACTCCTCAACCACAGGCCATTAACCGTTTTCAGTGGATATGTGCCCTTTGGTAAAGTAAGAAATAATGAAATAAACAAACACTCCCTCCCCCCGGTGACAGCGCCGCTCCTCTGAGAACGCCGCGCAGCTCGACTGCTAATGAGAGCCGCAGTTCGCTTCCTCTGCTTCACCTAAATGAAATAAAAAACTCATCGGCTAATAAAGCAAGATTACCAGCGACTAACTCCTAAAATCACCTAGAGTCTCTTTAAATCCTGCAGGCAGGGCCGTGACCAGGTTCTGCTTTACGGGGGCCAAGAAGGGAACCGCAGCCTTAGACCGGATCACAATTTGCACAAATATTCAGACTATTTGTCCAATTTCTAGTGCAGATATCTTAGTATACTTAAATAAGACAAAACAAGCTTACAAGTAACTTTTCAGAAATAGATTTGATTGATTTAGATAAATAATCTCTTAATATTGATAACTGGACATGAACATTTTCATCAATATTTGTGTAATATAAGCTCCTAAATCTTCTGGAAAGTTGTTTGAAAGTTAGTTTTGTCTTATATTAAGAGTACTGAGATATTTGTACTTGAAACTAGACAAAAATACTTTTGTGTTTTTTGCAGTGCATCTATTTGCATGTATTATCTTTTGTCACATTACAAAATAAAAAAGAAACAATAAAAAAACAGAATAATAGCAGTTGTAAAAGGACAAAAGGAGCATTTCAAAGTGCTGGATAAATTGTTCTGCAGGCTGAAGCCACGCCTCTTCCAGCAAGTCCTGATCGAATTGCCCAAATTCCTTCTTTCTTTCCCAAATGTCTTTGTTAAGCTTGTTCAGAACAAGATTGAAATTTCATCTGTTAGCACTTCACAACTCTACAAAGAAACGGCAGAAAGAAGGGAGAGGCCGCAGACAACGAGAGGCAGGATGCTGTAATTCAAGTGCGGTTTCATCATTCAGTCTAACTCAAAGTGTCAAGAGCTGCCCTCTTGTTCATAATAACCTGCCATTGTGTTGTTTCCAGTTCATTTTTCGGCACAAACAAAGCCCGTTTTTGTCCCGCGCCGCGCCCCCCTCGTCGATGTGATGTCACTCGCCGTGACAAAAGCCGCTTTCCTTTGTGCTCCCCCAGATTTTCCACTCAGAAAGCGTCGGCCTCCCTCTACCTGAGGACGCAGATGCGCTCAAGTTGGAAGCCGCTCTTCCTCTTTAAGAGCTCACCACCCGCACTTTATCTGGCAATTAACGAACTGTAATTGCAATCAGAAAAGATGCGATCCTGCGGTAAAACTAGATACTGGAGCAGACAATGAGGGAAAGCATCCAGCTGCACGCACTCAGAGAAAAACGCAAGTGCCGGAGTCTTGATTAAGTATGCGGCTGGAAGGTTGGTGCTTAAGTGGAGATGGCCTCTCAGGCCGCGGCCTCTGGCTCTCTAAATGTACACCACACTCTGATAATCCATTCTTCTTCTGCTATTAGTCGCTTTACGAGCTCAAAGGACGAGTGGCACATCAATCACCGGCCTCCAAAGACAAAGTGGTTTGATCAAGCTTTGTATTTACATTTGATCTCCACTCACTCAGTTTCTTTTTTTGTGGCTATAATCCTTTTTGTCCAGGACTGAAAGTCAACCTTTAGCCGGGGAGGACGTATGTTGCAGAATCTCATTTGGTTGGATGACTCTATCCTCCGCGGAGACGCGATTGGAATGCAAAGCGCCGAGTCCATTCAACTCCCAGCACAAAACCGCCTTTCTTCCCCCCGCTCCGTCTCCCTGACCTTGCCACAACGCTCCACAATCGCCTCAATTACAGTAGATTGGAAGAGGAGGCCGATAGCTTGACTTCCGCTCTGCTGCATGTAAGGCAAGCATTATATCGCCCAATTTCTTGTACACAACCCAACCGCCCCCCCCAAAGCTTCCCTGCCAATGATATCTGGGTCGACAGCGAGTTTTCATGAGGTCGGACCGGATAATACCTTCAGAGGAAGTTATATTTGACTTGATGTGAGCAGGAATGACACGAAGCAAGAAGCCAGTGGAAAGCGAATTGGACAAGAAACGGCAAACAAAGCCTGAGGACGGACCGAAGGACTGAACGACAGCATCGCGTCACGTCAGCCACCAGGAGACGGGCCGATCCCTGAAGTCTCAGGCACCAAACGAGCCTTCGTTTGGCTCCACGCTGGTCATCTACAATCGATTTTATGGGGAAAAAAATGGTTAAAAATATACAACCAGACTGAAATATCAGGTTTAAAGTTTGTTAGCAACCTGCAGACAAAGCAGGGACTGTCCTCAGCCGACTCGGTAAAGCTCGTTCAGTAGACTCGGTTCGATTCGGGACCAAAATTTGCAACATGTGTTACATTTTCAGCTGCTGCAGTTTCTCCTTTAACACTCTCCTGGTGTTAAACCTGAACACCTGTTCCCTTCCTGGCCTGTGGGGGCGCTGCACCAAGAACTACTGAAGGAAACAACATGAAAACCTCAAGAAGACACTGAGTAAAATGTAAACACAAATCAAGAAAGAAAGAAAGAAGGAAAGAAAGAAGAGTTGGACTCTTTCAAAACTTATTTCTCGTAATTTTGCAACTTTCTTCTAGTAATATTGCTTCTGTATTCTGCTGATATTATGACTTTATTCTCTTAGTTTAGCGCTAGTGATCCATCATACCCCTCTACACACAATATTGTGAATTTTTCATTAGTTAATAGGAAAAAATGCCACATTTCCACACATTTATGGAATTATTCAGCAATTATTTTCTGAATAACCCAAAGTTAAAAGCAGAAAAAGGTAGAAAATGTCTCAGCTGAACCACAGACTATTACAACCAATATGTTGCTTCTTTTTTGCATTTTGAAACTAAAACCAACAGCTGTAAATATGCAAACTGTTTCAAAGTTTAAGACGAAGCGCTTGCAGACGAAACGCGCTGCTGCAGCTGCTTTACTGACGGGAAGTTTGGCCTCCAACAAAAGAGCTGTCAGCTGAAATAATGGAACGGATTATAAAACTCCAGAAAGCAATTCAACCGAGTGAGGCGAAGAAATGTTAGTTGTTCCCACTCAGCTGTGTCTGACGTTTGGAGCCAGCAAAAACAAAATACAAAAAATAAATAAAAGGGATTGTAGAAATACGGAGTAAGGAAGACGTCAAAGTGTCGAGGCACGTACAGTTAAGACCAGATATTTACACTCACTTAATAGAAGATAACACTGCAAAAACATATTTTTTGCTGAGTATTTTTGTGTAGTTTCTAGTGCAAATATCGTAGTACACTTAAAATAAGACAAAAATAACTTACAAATAACTTTTCAGCAAGAAGTAACAGCTTTTAAAAGTCAATGAAGAGATACTAATTCCACTAAGTGTAAAACATTTTTCCCATGTTTTAAGTGGAATAATCAGCATGAAAATGGCTGCAAACAGATGCACAAGTATACAACCTTACATCCTTGAAAAGCATTAGTAGAGCCTCCTGCACAGCCAACAAGAATGCAGCAAGTTGTTTCTGGATGGTAGGTCAAGAACATAACTCTCTTTTGTCCAGCAGCCATTGTAAAGTGCATACAGCAGAGAAGCCAGCTGACCAAACATGCTGGTTGCTAGGCAACAGCACAGTATACATGGAGTGCGACGTGACAATCAGAAGATTTTTTTAAATGTTTTAACAAAAACATGAAGTTATTGCAAAAAAAAAGGCTAGATGTGTTTTTTTAGGTTGTTTTTGGAAGCATTAGAGAACGGATTAGAAGCATAAAAATGTACAAAATTAGAAATTTGCATAATAGATCCACACAATTTATTTATATTTTATTTTTAAATTAAATTTAAAAATAAATAAAAATATTTTTCACTTTATTTTTAGATATAAAATTAAATAAATAAAAAGTTGCGCTAAGGGAAACATGCAGAGCTTTACCTTTCCCACGTACTGCATGTCCGTCCCAGTATACTCCTCCAGCAGAAAGAACTGGTTCCACATCCAGCCCCGTTTGGAGCGCCGCAGCGGGACTCCGTTGGCGTCCTGTCCCGTCAGCCCCGTCGGCCCTCTCCGCCCCCCTGTAGTCCTTCGCAGCGCCCTGAGGCTGTAGCCCGGGCAGCTGAGCTGGACCACGGCCCACAGCATCATAAGAGCGCAGAGTCTCCGCCGATCCATAACCGCAGCAGCAACAAGCCTCAAACCGCCCCGCTGGTCCGCGTCCGCCGCTTCCTGGTCAGAGGGTCAGCTCGCCTCTCATGCTGCGATCTGCTGAGGCAGGATGAGGCAGGACTCTCGTTGGGCGGCAGTCAGTCGGCGCCTGGAATGGAAACACAGGCAAACAGGCTGTTAACGCAAGAAGCAGCTTGAACTCAACGCTGATGGCTTTAAAGATGAAACTAAACAAAAATCAAGTTCAAATGACCAAAAAGTATCAGCTTGTCTTAAAAAAGAAAAACGTGATTAAGTATTTTTGTTTAGTTTATAGTGCAAATGTCTTCGTACAATCACAATAAGACAAAACTAAATTTCAAGTAACTTCCAACAACAAACAGAAGCTCGTTTTAAGTCAATAATTCCTTAAAACTGATGAAAAAAACACCAATTCCAGTGGAAGATTATTTCACAAAATGTCTTATGAGGTAAAAAATGCCCGAAACTCAACGTTTACATTCATACGAGAAAATGGCTGCAGACAGATGCTCAACTCTACAGCCGTGCATCTTTGAAAAGCATTAGAAGAGCCTCCTGTACAACCAACAAGAATGCAGCAAGTGGTTCAGTAAGACATTTGTTTTTTTCCAGCAGCCATTGTACAGCAGTAAAACTAGCTGACCAAACATGCTGGAGCTCAGTTCTGGTTGCTAGGTAACAGCGCAGTTCCTAATGGGAGGTTTTTGAAATGGCTCGTTTTCCAGACACCAGCAAACTTGAACTTGTCAAAAAACGTTTGGACCTTAAATATCAAAGTGTTTGAAATGTGAATTTTCCTTTGAAGGAGCAATTAAAAAGAAAATATTTTACTCTCATTTCTTGCTGGAAACTTACTCTTAAGTTAGCTAGCTTAGTTGTATCTCAACTGTGCTAAGATATTTGCGTAACTTTTGTTTTTTTCAGAGTGGCTCTAGCATGAAACTGAAATAATTTGCCTCTGGTGCGAAAACTTTCTCATTAAGGAATGACTCATGTAATGTCTTGCTAAAAGTTATTTTTCAGTTAGTTTTGTTTTATTTCAGGCGTACTAAGGAATTTGCAGTAGAAACTAGATGAAAGTACTTGGTAATATTTTGTGTTTTTGCAGTGCAGCTCCTCTCCTCTCCTCTTCAGTCTGTCTGGCTCTGCTCCTGCATGCAGGTCAGGGTACTTAATTCATGTCCGGAGACATCCTTCCTACATGCCCAACACGGCGCGGCCGGACTGAACAGGCGCGATACGGCGGAGCGTTGGAAACGCTCCCCAGCCGACCCGCTGATAACCCTCCTCCCAAACCGCAGCCGAGGAACGCCGGCGGCCTGGAAACCGCCCAACGTCCAGGAATAACGAGAACAAAACGAAACACATGGCCGCCTCCCCGACTCCGTCCTGCTTCATCCATCTTGTTCCACGTCCTTCTTCCACCTGCCAACAGCTGGCCTCAAACAGTCATTACTTCCTTTATCTGTGCGGGAATCCCACAGCAGCCAGGTCTGCAGCTTCTCAGTTTGATTTTTGGACCATTCAGGATTTCCTCTGCAGAGCTGCAGCTCGCCATGAAAGCAGGGAACTAGTTACCAGAACAAACATGTTTTGTACAAGTCTGTATTTTAATGAAATTGCAGCAATTTGCATCATGTCCTGTTGAAGTGGCAACAGAGACGACAAAGAGAAACCTCAGCAGCAGAAATCCTCTGAAGAAAAAAACGTTTGCTGCTTTTCAAGTCTTCACTCAACCAGAATATGAGAAACACGACTTTAATCACTGCAAAAACACAAAATATCACCAAGTATTTTAGTCTAGTTCTAGTGCGAATATCTTAGTTCACCTGAAGTGACGCAAAACTAAATTACAAGTGACTTTTCAGTTATAGGAGTGAATAATTCCTTAATATTGATAAAAACGTCCTGGTTCCACTCAGATTATTTCATTTATTACATGGGGAAAATAAGAAAGTATTAGGGTCTGGAAAATAAAAATAAATTATTCTTGGAATTATGAAAATATGAGAATAAACAGATCTGCAAAAAAAGTCATAATAATACCAGAAGAAAGTCACAGAATTACGAGAAAAGTCATATTTTGACTTTATTCTTGTGTTATTTCAACTATTCTCTTTTTTTTTTTTTTTACTTTTTCTTGTATGACTTTACTCCTGTATTTTATGGACTTTATTTTTGTGTATTTTCAACTATTCTTAAATGAATTTATTCTCATAATTTTATTTCATTTATTTATATTCATATTATATTTATTTCTTATTATGGCACTAATATCTCATCGGAGGAAAAAGTCTTGAATTAGTAATTAGTAATTTTTTGATATCCAAATATTGACTGAAATCTCTCTTTCCTGCTGAAAAGTTTCTTGTAACTCAGTTTTGTCTCATTTAAAGTGGGAACCGTGTTTTTACAGTGCGGTGCTGCTTGTCACATCTCCACAACAGTTTCTTCTCGTATCTAAAGAAATCTGTTGGCGCCGAGAAGAAAAACCAACAAGCAATCTTGCACAGGACAACCGCTGAGATTTAAACTCGCAGACGCCTCGCCATGCCGACTGGGACAGCTTTGTACCAACTCCTGTTCAGGGAGGGGGGTTTGATGTCGCCGTCTTTGTAGGCCGTTAAACAAAACAAGCTGCATATTTCACCGCCGTGCCAGTCTGTCAAGCTGTTTACAGCGGTTCAAAACATAATGGAGAGTTTGATACACTTGAGCGTTTTCAGCTGTTATTATGGCTCTCATTTGTTCCTCCAGCAGTGATTTTGAAAGACGTTTTGACTGTCTTTGTTTACTTCACACCCACAAGCCCCATCGCAGAGTTTACCAGGGGCACAAAGTCCAACGGCACCTAAAGACGCTCCAGTCGGGGTGTTTTTCTTCTTCTCTTCTGCTGCTGCTCTAACACGCCCACTTAAAGCAGAGTGGACCTTCAGAAAAACTGAAACACGAGATACAAAAGAGAGAATAAAAGAGACTCAGAACAGTCACTGGTGGCAGTGGGTTTAGTTTTTCTTTTAGTAACCGTTCCATCACTTCACAGCATGAATGTAGCCTTTATATCAGCTGTGCTGTAGCATCTGACCAGGGGTTTTCAATGCTAAAGCACAGCTGCTAACTGGTGCTTCGTGCAGCATATTACTGTAAAAATCTTCCAAGTGAAGAGACAAGCAAAAAAAACAAAAAACATCAGAGTTTTTATATCTGCAATCATGTAAAAATGGCTGCCAACAGACGTGCTATTATACAACCATACATCTTTGAAAAGCAGAAGCGGAACCTCCTGCACAACCAACAAAAATGCAGCAAGTGATTTCTAGATGGTAAGTCAACAACAAAACTTTTGTCTTTTCCAGCAGCCATTGTACAGCGCATACTGTGGTAAAACCAGCTGACCAAACATGTTGGAGCTCAGCGTGGGTTGCTAGGTAACAGCGCAGTGGCTGTAGAATGTGACTTAACATTTGGTAGGTTTATGAAACGGCACGTTTTCCAGACACCAAAAAAATTATTGCCAAAAAACGTCTGGTTTGATGTTTTTAAACTCTTGGGGTTTTTAGAAGCAGAAGAAACCAAAATGGAAATACAAAAACACACAAAATGTGAATTTTGCATGATAGGTCTCCTTTTAAATGAGAACCTCGACAAACCAAGTCAAATTGTGGCGAGCTGCACATTAACCACCGTCACAAGGTCTGATGTCATCTAAATGAAAAAGTAGAGTATTTCACTTCTACCTTTTTTTATTCAATATTGAGGAATTATTTAGTATTTATTGCTAAAAAGTTACATATAAATTAGCATTATTTATTTTAAATTAACTACAATTTTTCCACTAGAAATCAGACAAGAAATACTTTTGTGTTTTTGCAGTGTAAAGGTTGCTGGTAGCCCTTCTGATTCCCGTCTCCTCTGCGGACTTTGCTAACCCCCGTTCCCGGCGTTTTGCCCTCCAGATGCAGAAACAGGAACTTCAGCATTCAGGTGCTTAAAGTCAGACCATCAGATGTAGTTACCGTGACAACGCTAACGGGGGGAGAGCAGCCGGTTTGAAGGAGAGTTAAAAACGTCCCGTCAGAGCAGCGTCAGCAGCAGCAGCGGCCCCATCCATTACCTGACCTGTCTTCCACAGGCAGTTACGGCTCGGCCCGCTTTCCCCTGAGGAGGCAGATTGAAGCCGGGGTGAGGTCCGCTGCCTCCCTTTTCCCCCTGCGCTGCAGTTTAAAGCTCCTCCCTCATATGCATTATCGCTGTGCGCTGAAAGCCAGTCACTTTGCATGTGTCCTCTGCCTGAATCAGCACAGCCAGGGGAAAAACACGGACCGCCAGGCCCATCCGGAGCAGAAAGTCAGTTATTGTTCTATGAATATATTTATTACAGCCGATCAAACAAAACCCAGGAACTGGTAGGAAGATCAGCACGGCTTACTAAGAAAGTATTTGGTAAAAACTATTAAAGTGCTGAGTAACCATTTAAAATGTAAAACATTACATTATCAGACGGACCAAAATAAGAAAAACTCATATCAGTAACAAAAATAAAGAAAATACAGAGATTTTACTCGAGTAAAAAGTACAGAGCAGTAAAAATACTCATAAAAGTATTTTTTCTCTAAAAAGTTACTCAAGTAGATGCCCCCCTCCCCCAACTCTCTCAATTACAATACATAAATCTTGTTGGACAAATAGACTGAAAAAAAAAAGAAAAAAAAATCTTACCAAGTATTTTTTTAATCTAGTTTCCAGTACAAATGAAATAAGACAAAACTAACATATAAGTAACTTTTCAGCAAGAAATATGATTTGATGTCAAGTCAGTAATTTTGCCAGACATTTGAACTTGCAAGATATTTTTTCCAAAGTGAAATAATTCATGGAACTAGTACTTTTTTAAATCAATAGAAAGGAATTATTGACTAAAAACAGATTTATTTTGCTGAAAAGTTCCTTGTAATTTAGTTTTCAACTATACTAAGATATTTGCACTAAAAACTATTTTTGTAAGAATCTGATTTTTGCAGTGTTTGCAGTGGAAAAAAACAAATAAAATGAACTATGACGTCTCTGTAAGCAAAACTGACCTTCAAAATAAGAGCCAGTTGAGCCCAAAACACCAACCTGAAAACT